CTCTCCGCTCTCTCTCTCTCTCTCTCTCTCTCTCTCTCTCTCTCTCTCTCTCTCTCTCTCTCTCTCTCTCTCTCGTCCTGGAGACCCTCATCCTCATTTGACAGGCTGGGAGACCTAGGCCTTGGTCGGAGGTGGAGTGGGCTTCTTTTCACTTGGGCCAAGGCAGGGCCAAGGCGAAGCTCACCCCCCGGGGCCCCTCGATCCTCCTGCGAGCAAGGATCGTGCTTGTCTGTCCCGCGCGCCCGCTGAGATGTTCCGCCAGTGGTCGGTGCAGTCAGGACCGGCCCCCCGACGGCCTGGATCCCTTGCGGCAGCTGAGGAGCTATGGGAGGAAGAAGTGGAGCGGCTGTGCGCCTCCCGGGCGCCGGTACGGATGCTGCCCTACGCCATGGCCGACAGGCGCTTCATCCGGTAGATACTGGCTGAGCGGCGATGGGGGTGGGGGCAGCCCCCGAGGATGTACCTGTCAGATGGATGACTCAAGGGCGCCCCCCTCACCTCGCTCCCCTAGGGAACTGCGGGAGCCCGAGGGGGTGAAGACCTCCTGCCGGCAGCGGTGGTGTCGCAGAGGGCAGGTGGCCCGACAGCACCTCAGGGAGGCAGCGCAGAAGCTGGCTCATGGCTTCGGGCTTTGGGAGGGAGCACTCTACGAGATTGGGGGTAGGATCCCATACCGACCCTCATATCCCACCTCCCTAGTCAGCCCCTCCATCCTTGTACGTCCCCTCAAATTCCTCCCGTGCACACCTTGATGGGTGTCGGCTCTCAGAGTGTTATTGGAGATACTGCACTGAAACCCCAACATTGCATTGCCATGGGCTGGTCCCGATTCACACAGCCCTGGGAGTCTCCGCGTGGGGGCCTGTTCCTCCTGACTTTTCTCCCATAGGCCTCTTCGGGACCGGGATCCAGTCATACTTCACTTTCCTTCGCTTCCTGCTGCTGCTCAACCTGCTGACCCTGCTGATGACCGCCAGTTTCGTCCTGCTGCCCCTGGTCTGGCTCCACTACCCTGAGCCAGGTCCTGCCTTGAAACTGAGTGAGTGTTGGGATTGCCCTGACCCTGTGCACCTCAGCCTGGGCATGCTGCGTGGGCTAGCCTTGGACTCTGCTTGATACAGCCTCAGTGTTAGGCAGATGCAGTGGAGTTGGGAGATTGAGTGTCAGGTGTGTCTGGGGGACCCTGTTCTGTTGGTCCCCTCTTCCTACTCAGCAGGCCCCCAGTGCTCCAGCAGCCACCCGTCCCAGAGCGGCATTCCGAAGTTCCACAACCCACTTTGGAATAGTTTAACTGGCAGGGTAAGTGGGGTCTCTGCTGTCTGTGTGACTGTGCTCTAGGGCATCTGGGAGATGCTAGTCAGAAAGGACCCCTGATCCTCAAGAGACATTTTGGCTTTTAAGGGAGAGTCTTACACAGAATGGCCAGGCCAGATATAGAGACATAGTGACATGGGCCCATGAGCCATGGAGCGCAGCTTGGAGCAAGGGACAGATGGGAAAAGTGTCCAGACCTCTGAGATAGATAAACACACCACACACGCACACCAATTCCTGGAGGCCACTGAAGTCCTGGACCCAAATCTGTATGACCTGAGCAAGTCACCTAGCTTCTTTTAGTGCCTGTAAAGGATACAGGCACAGTGATAAATACCTGCAAACACAACACTTGGGAGGCTGAGGCAGGAGGATCACACACTCAAGGCCAGCCTGGGCTACATAGGGAGATCTTGTCCTTCCTTGTAGGACAAGCACTCAGAACAGGGCCCAACAGTCCACCTGTGCTCACAGGCCCTCGCTGTGTCCCCAGGCCTTCAACAACACCTATCTCTTCTATGGTGCCTACCGGGCAGAGCCAGAGCGCAGCTCAGCATACAGCATCCGCCTGGCCTACCTCCTCACCCCAATGGCTTGTCTGCTCCTCTGCTTCTGTGGGACACTACAGCGGTGAGGAAAGACCCCACGTCTCCTACAGGCCTCCATCCTTGGCCATCCTTCCCGGGGCAAAGCTGGCAGACAGATAGATCCCTGTGCAACGAGGCTCACCTGGCCCCTAGCCCGCCTCCTATACCACGAGGCGCATGCTGAGCTACAGGGATCCCTGCACCGGCTTTCTGAGGCCCGAA